ATATCCAAAATATAGTTTGGTAGAGTTTCTTGATTTTTTTCAACAAATTTGTTCCCTTTTATTTTATTGTTTTTAAACAAGTATCACACAGGAGTCAGCTAGAGAACTTAAGTTAGTCAGTGTGGCTTAGCAGTCCAACAAACTCCCATTTAGTATGCTAGCTCACCAGAGCTGCCCTTAACCACACTTTCAAAGAACAGTTGTTAACCATTAATTCCAGCCCGACTTGAGTCTCACAATCTTAAAAAAAAAAAAAAAGAACAAGGCAATCTAATGGACTCACCATATGGACACGAAGCTGTTAGGGGCTGAGGGTGGGGGGTGGCGAGTGGAAGTACAGAACAGAAGGGAGTTCCCTTCTCCCCTCAAGTCTTGGTTCCCTTTATTGTTGCCTCCTCAGAAGCCTAAGTGGGGTTTGACTATCTCTAAGGAGCCAAAAAGCTCTTCCTTACCCCAACCCCGACTTGGGACCACTGAAAGTCTAAATTAAAAAAAAAAAAATTTAATTAATGGAAAAATGTGGGAGTTTCTTTAACTCTCAAGGCACCGAGACTGCTAGATTTCTGTTGGTAGCCTTCCCTTTGACGTTGAGTAGGGGTGGAGGGCTCTGTGGCAGGCATGATGTTGCACATCCTGGCCTATCTGGATCTAGTCATTAATTTGTTAGTTGTGCAACTTGAGCAGAAATGAGCATCCTGCACTCTTAAGCAGGCTACCAGTGCCTCCTCGGCCAAGTTGTTTCTGACCTGATTTCAGGTCCTTTAATTATAACATTAGGCATTAAGGGACCCTAAAGATTTCTGTGTGGCCCCCATTTTATTTCTAAAAGAAATCAAAGTTTAAAAAAAGAAAACATTTTAAATTGATATCTGATTTCAGACATTTCAGAGAAAGATAATTTTCTGGTCTAATTAGGAAAACAAAATAAGATTTTAGGTTAACACATGGTGTCATGATTAAAATAAAAATGTTCTGAAGACTAGAGGAGAAAATAAAATGACAACTTTGTCCCCACTTGAGATCTTCTAGAAGTTATAGGTACCAGAGGAAATAAAGAACTTTATTCAGAGACAGTGTACTAATATGAGGGTGATCTTCTAAACCTAGAAAACATTGCCAGTCTACTTTGAGCTCTTCAGTGGTCAGAGACAGAGACAATCTCAGTTTATGTCTGCTACAATAATGTTGCCATTACCTGAGTGGTTCCTGAAAGTGGGGGATACTTGGATTCTGACAGCCGAATGTCCACATAGATGACTAGAATCCCAGACAACCCTTTCAGAACCCGCAGGAAGGGAAAGAGTGACGTTACTGAAGTAGACAACGAGATAATAGTAAAGGTATATTTGAAGCATAGCCCCATATAACCAAATGAGAGAATTTTTGAAAAGAAGAGTGGTGAGCATTTTTATTCCTGAGGGCAGAAATTTCAAATCTGAACTTGCAAAAAGTTGTTGCCTTAACAACAGCTAAGGTATTGTTTTGGCATTCTTTCTGGAAGGCAGTGATTCAGGATTTTTTTTAAATCTTTTTTTTTTTAATCTATTGCAAAGTTTTATGACTTGTATTTATTGGCATAAGGAGCCTTTAGTTGCTTCCTCGAGTTTCCCATCTTTAATTAAATGCATTCCAGTTAAGCAGAAAGCACGTATTTATGACGCATGGCCTTATGTAGGAGGTTCATGTATGCCAAGAAAGGTCTTTGTGGAAAGCCGATATGTGAAATTATATAAGCTCCTTATACCTCACATTGTTTGCTCCATGAAACCTCCTCTTCATCCTGAGCCCAACAGAAAAGCTAAAATGACAACTCTCTATCCCTAGTGAGGGAAACAGAAAGGCTGATGAAATACTTCATTGGAAAACCAAATATTTTCTTAAGTTTGGCTTAGCTAGATGTTGAAATATCTAAACCTTTGAAATCATCAAGGATTCTAATTTTTTTTGTCTAATCAAATAAAAGTAGAATTAATCTTAGCTGCATAGGAACTCCTTGGGATTCAATAGTCCTTTCATTCACCCTGACAGTAAGTACTCTGACCCAACTAAAGACATTGCAGACTAGAATTCATCATAGGAGGGAACCTCCAATGGGCCGAGAGGGTGGAGTCTGGGGGGTGACTGCCAAGTTCAGTCCTGGCTCTGTCCTTGCCAGTGGCCTTGAAATCATCTTTTTACTTCTTCCAACCTCTACTATCTTATATTTGGAATAAAGAGGCATTGACAAGACATTCACTGAATCCCCTTTATGAATGAAACATGAATGAAAGAGTACCTCCTTCCAAGGTGCTTATGGTTTAATGAGCAAATGAACAAGGATTAAGCCAGAATTAAAGTTTTAAGTTTAAAGGAGAGATTGCCCATGCTTTGGCAAGGAGCAATGACATGAGAGCCCTCGCTGAACTTTGTATCAGCTGTGTACACGTGCTGTGTGCACCACACGGTCATGTGTTGAGGTCACACGCGGTCAGTTTGCAGGCCCCACACTGTCACCAGCCTCTCGTGGGTGGCACTCACTGACGCTTCCTCTTCCCGCTCCTTCTTATGAGGGTGACATTATTCCAGCCTCTCCCTTTCTTAGCCTTTAACACATTTTTCAATCCCCCAATGCTCTCACTGTGGGAGGAGCTCCTCTGGTCACCCGTATATGAGAGACAGTGAGTAAAAAGAAGACATTCTGTGGCCACTGGTCCCCTTTCACAACCTAAAAATGGTCTTCCAGGGCCCTCCCTGGTGGCACAGTGGGTTAAAGTACAGCACACTGAGAAGCTAAAGCCACTTCAGCTTGAGTTTGATCCATGCCCCGGAGGTGACTCACATGGTGCAGCAGACCTCTCCTGACCTGCCCGCTGCTCCCCTCAGCAGTGTACTTTGTTGATCTGCCTGTTCTGCTCCCTACTCTGTCTCTGGTGAATCCTCTCACTGCCCCTGCACCTCTGGCCTGTACCCTAGTTCTATATGCACAAATAAATAAATCTTAAAAATGGTCGTTCATACTTCATAGAAGTTTCATATTTTAAAAATTTCCTCTCAGTTTTGCTGACATGAGGTCATTTACTGAGGTTCACCCTGCTAGCCTTCCAGAATCCTGCTCACACACCTGTTAGAATCATCAATACTAAAAACCTGAAATCAAAGAGTTTCATTGCAAACCATTGTTACCTTTTAAATGTAAAACAACATCTACAGAGCAAAAGATCAATACCTTTAAGGCATGCAAATGTAAACATTGAACTTGTGTTTTTTGTTATTATTATAATAGTTTATTTTTACATCATTTTGTGCCTTTTTCCATCTCAGTTGTAATCCCCGTGGGCTTCCCATCGCCAATTCACCCATGTTCCATCACCATAGTCCAGTGCATTTCCCTCCACGTATTTTCATCCCCCCCCCACCCCT